CTGTGGGCTCAAGTGGGCAAAGACACTGTACCCAATAGCTAATAAAAATCAGCAGACAGGCCCGGCACAGTGGTTCACACTTGTGAACCCAGCACTCTGGGTGGCTGAGACAGGAGGATCACTTGAGTCCAGGAGTTTGAGACCAGCCTAGGCAACAAAGCAAGAGCCTGCCTCCACAAAGAAATTTAAAAATTAGCAAGGCATGGAGGCATGTGTCTGTAGTCCCAGCTACTTGGGAGGCTGTAGCCAGTGGGGAATTAGCAAACAAAATGGTAAGCACTAACATGGAGTCAACAGACACTACATTAGGTCAACAGGAAGAGAAAACACGGGGCTGTGAGCTAATGGGAGTCAGCTGCTGTCACCATGCTAAGTCTAAAGGGGGGAAGTAAGACATGATACTGACTAATGGAAGATCATCAGACACTAAGTGAGGGTGAAGTGGGTGATAAGACATGATGTGAGCTAATGGTGGGTGATCAGACATTGTGCTCTGGCCTAAAGGGGTGGTAAGAACTGCCGTGAATTAATGGAGGGGTTAGTAGACACTGGACTGCTGACTCATGGGAGTAAAAACTACTATGATGAGTAGTGCAAAGGGCACTTGAGCGAGGTGATTGGAGCAGTCGCAGCGAGGACCATGTTGCTTCCAAACATCCTGCTCACCAGTACACCAGGGATTGGAAAAACCACACTAGGCAAAGAACTTGCATCAAAATCAGGACTGAAATACATTAATGTGGTTGATTTAGCTCGAGAAGTCTGATCATCAGATATCATGGAGTCTGGCAAGATGGCTTCTCCCAAGAGCATGCCGAAAGATGCACAGATGATGGCACAAATCCTGAAGGATGTGGGGATTACAGAATATGAGCCAAGAGTTATAAATCAGATGTTGGAGTTTGCCTTCCGATATGTGACCACAATTCTACATGATGCAAAAATTTATTCAAGCCATGCTAAGAAAGCTACTGTTGATGCAGATGCTGTGTGATTGGCAATCCAGTGCCGCGCTGACCATTCTTTTACCTCTCCTCCCCTGAGAGATTTTTTATTAGATATTGCAAGGCAGGCTGGGCGCGGTGGCTCATGCCTGTAATCCCAGCACTTTGGGAGGCCAAAGCGGGTGGATCACGAGGTCAAGAGATCGAGACCATCCTGGTCAACATGGTGAAACCCCATCTCTACTAAAAATACAAAAAATTAGCTGGGCATGGTGGCGGGTGCCTGTAGTACCAGCTACTCAGGAGGCTGAGGCAGGAGAATTGCCTGAACCCAGGAGGCGGAGGTTGAGGTGAGCCGAGATCGTGCCATTGCACTCCAGCCTGGGTAACAAGAGCGAAACTCCGTCTCAAAAAAAAAAAAAAAAAAAAGATATTGCAAGGCAAAGAAATCAAACGCTTTTGCCATTAATCAAGCCATATTCAGGTCCTAGTTTGCCACCTGATAGGTATTGCTTAACAGCTCCAAACTATAGGCTGAAATCTTTACAGAAAAAGGCATCAAATTCTGCAGGAAGAATAACAGTCCCGTGGTTAAGTGTTGGTTCGGTTACTAGCAGACCAAGTACTCCCATACTAGGAACACCAACCCCACAGACCATGTCTGTTTCAACTAAAGTGGGGACTCCCATGTCCCTCACGGGACAAAGGTTTACAGTACAGATGCCTACATTGCAGTCTCCAGCTGTAAAAGCTTCAATTCCTGCAACGTCAGCAGTTCAGAATGTTCTCATTAATCCATCATTAATTGGGTCCAAAAACATTCTTATTACCACTAATATGGTGTCATCACAAAGTACTGCAAATGAATCACCAAATGCATTGAAAAGAAAACATGAAGATGAAGATGATGATGACGATGACGACTATAATTTGTAATCTAGCCTTGCTGCATGTAACATGTGTACTTGGTCTTGAATTTATTGTACTGATATTAAAACTGCATGCTGGATGTTTTCAAGTTGTGTTTTAGAAAACTTTAATAATATTTGATGAGTAAATACAATTACCATACTTTTCAATTTAAATGAAGGTTCAGCCTTAAAAGTGTAAGAAAAATAAAGTTGTCATTCATAAAAAAAAACTACTATGATGGTGGCTACTGGAGGATTGGCAGAGACTATGCATAGGCTCTTGGGAGTCAAATCTACACTGCAGTGTTGGCAAGTGAGGGAGCACCACAGATGGTGACAGTAGCTAATGAAAGTCAGTGTACCCCTGAGTGGGGCCTCAGAACATGTCGTTTTCATGGGGCAAGACAATTTCTAAAACCTCAGGAGGACCAAGTTGCCCACCACCACTCTTTTATTTGCTCTAGTGGTCAGTATTCCCATTTTCCTCCCAGGCAGCCCAGACCCAACTCCTGAAAGGGGAACTGAGAGGCTCACCACTAACAGACTCTTACTAAAGGAAACTCTATGGGGTATTTTTCAGGCAAAAAAGAAGATGATTCTAGATGAAATGCAGAAAGTAATGAAGTACAAGCAAGGTGGTAAATATTTGGATAAAATGAAATGAAAACTGCCCACCTCAAACAAAAATGTTGTGTGGGGAGACGTGTGTGTGAGAGAGAGACACAAATATTATATATAAGTATATATGTAAACCCCATAACATCATTATATTTTGAAACATATATGTATATACTTGTATAAATGCAAAGCTGCTACTAAAAGATTAACTTTCATAGACAATTTCTTGGAGAAAACTATAAAATACTATTGAAGGTTAAGAAAGACAAGTTAAAAAATAAATAGGCTGGGTGCAGTGGCTCACGCCTAAAATCCCAACACTTTGGGAGGCCAAGGCAGGCGAATCATTTGAGGTCAAGAATTCGAGACAAGCCTAGCCAACATAGCAAAACCCCATCTCTAGTAAAAATATAAAAATTAGTTGGGCGTGGTGGCGTGCACCTATAGTCCCAGCTACTTGGGAGGCTAAGGTATGAGAATCATTTGAACCCAGGAGGCAGAGGTTGCAGTGAGACAAGATTGCACCACTGCACTGCAGCCTGAGTGATGGAGAGAGACTGTGTCTCAAATAAATAAATAAATAAATAGGCTGGGCACGGTGGCTCACACCTGTAATCCCAGCACTTTGGGAGGCCAAGGCAGGTGGGTCACCTGAGGTCCGGAGTTTGATACCAGCCTGGCCAACATGGAGAAACCCCATCTTTACTAAAAATACAAAAATTAGCTGGGTGTGGTCATGCACCCCTGTAGCCCCAGCTACTCCGAAGGCTGAGGCAGGAGAATCACTGGATCCAGGGAGGCAGAGATTGCAGTGAGCCGAGATTGTGCCATTGCACTCCAGCCTGGGCAACAAGAGTGAAACTCTGTCTCAAAATGTAAAAATAAAATAAAATAAATAAAGACAAACCACATTCATGGAAGCAAAGGCTCAAAGCCATTTCATACCTTTCAGATTGGCAATAATTTAAAGGACTGATAGTAACTGCTGCTGAATGGCAAAATGAAAATGTTCTCAAATAACTCATGAGAGTATACAATTTGGAAGGGAAAATGTCAATACTTAATAAAGTTTAAAAAACCTCCCTATCGGGCCGGGCATGGTGGCTCATGCCTGTAATCCAAGCACTTTGGAGGCCAAGGCAGGCGGATCACCTGAGGTTGGGAGTTTAAGACCAGCCTGACCAACATGGTGAGACTCCGTCTTTTTTTTTTTTTTTTTTGAGACGGAGTTTCGCTCTTGTTACCCGGGCTGGAGTGCAATGGCGCGATCTCGGCTCACCGCAACCTCCGCCTCCTGGGTTCAGGCAATTCTCCCGCCTCAGCCTCCTGAGTAGCTGGGATTACAGGCACCCGCCACCATGCCCAGCTAATTTTTTGTATTTTTAGTAGAGACGGGGTTTCACCATGTTGACCAGGATGGTCTTGATCTCTTGACCTCGTGATCCACCCGCCTCGACCTCCCAAAGTGCTGGGATTACAGGCTTGAGCCACCGCGCCCAGCCTGAGACCCCGTCTTAAAAATAATAATAAAATAAATTTTAAAAAATAAAAAAATAAAAAAACCTGTGTATCAATCAGAGCCCAACTAGGAGACAAAAACCACACTAGTTATTTTAACAGAAAGAACTTATAAACAATCTTAACTAGTTATGAGGTTGTAAACCAAGTAACTGAAGAGACAAAAAGAGAACATTCAAATTATCAGAGAAATAGCAACTGCAGGAAACAGCTGGGCTGGCATAACAAAGGGAAGAAGTTGAAAATTTCTTTTGGAGACAGGGTCTTGCTCTGTCACCCAGGCTGGAGTGCAGTGTCACAATCACAGCTTACTGCAGCCTCAACCTCCTGCCTCAGACTCTCAAGTAGCTGGGACCACAGGTGTGCTCCCATGCCCAACTGAGTTTTGAATTTTTTTGCAGAGATATCGAGTTTCACCATATTTCCCAGGCTGGTCTTGACTCCTGGGCTCAAGCAATTTACCCACCTTGGCCTCCCAAAGTGCTGGGATTACAGGCATGATCCACTGCAAACAGCCATAAATTGAAATTACTAAAACTTAAAAGAATGGAGGAGGGGTCCCACATGACTAGAATTCACATCTTTAAGGAGGTGACGCCAGCCAGCTGATGCTTGTGTCTCAGAGGGGATGGGCTTCCATAAAGCTGGTTCTGTGAGTGCTGGAAGACTGCAAACTATATTAAAGTGCTGCTATGACAATGAACTGCTGTTGCCCGAGTGAAGAAGCACTGCTGAGCAGACACTCCAATGACCAAGAAGCCAATAGGAACAGAAAAAAAGAAGCAAGTCCCTTCTTCCCTCTCCAGCCCCAAAGCTTATATCTAGTATCTCTTATTAGCAAGGCCCAACAGGGAGCAGTTAGCAAGGCCAAAATGTGGTTTGTAGAGTCACAAAGTACAGTAAAGAAGGGTGGGTTTGAAGCTAGGACACAATCGCTTAATAACCTGCACATTGCCTAAATCCTATGACCAATCAGTTCCATTTCTAGATTTAGACACTAAGCTCGGAAAAGATACAAATGTCTTTTACTGGGGGAATGGAGAGAGTTATTTACTAGCCAGAACCACACTTATCAACAAGGACAGATCTTGGAAAGGTAACATTACATGAGAAAAGCAAGCTGCAGAACTTTAAATACAGTGTGATCTCATTTATGTCAAATTATATAAAGACAATATAGTAGTATAGTATTGCACACTTCATGTTATACCAAAAAATCTCACAGGATATTGAAATTCTAAATGTTGAAAGGAAAACCTCTAGAGGAAAGTATAGGAGAATATTATCACCTTGAAACTGATAATATTAATATATAAAACTAGCCGGGCATGGTGGCTCACGCCTGCAATCCCAACACTTTTGGAGGCCACAGTGGGTGGATCACTTGAGGTCAGGAGTTCAAGACCAGCCTGGCCAACATGGTGAAACCCTGTTTCTACTAAAATTACAAAAATTAGCAGGGCATGGTGGTGCGTGCCTGTAATCCCAGCTACTTGGGAGGCTGAAGCAGGAGAATCACATGAACCCAGGAGGCAGAAGTTGCAGTGAGCTGAGGTCAGGCCATTGCACTCCAGCCTGGGCAACAGAGTGAGACTCCATTTCAAATAAATAAATAAATAAAACTTCAGCAGAAGAAAAGAGATGACAAAATTAAAGAACCAATCTCAGTCTGGGAGAAGATATTTGCAACACACATGATGGAAAAAAAAAGGATTTTTATATTCTCATATGTTAAAAAACAACAACATTTAAACCAAAAAGTAAGAGATGAAAACATTTGAAAACAATGCCCATTTGAAAACAATGAGCAGAGGACATGAACAGTCAATGCACAGAAGAAAAAACTCAAATAGCCAATCAACAGATAAGATGTTCACACACCGCTAATTAGGGAAATCCAAATAAAAACAATGAGCTAACCCCTCAGGGGATCAGGACATATTTTGATACAATATACGTGCCAAATTTTTACAGGCACACTCTGTGTGCCCTGGTGATCATATGCCCCAAGGAGCTTGATCCAATGGTGAGGGAAGTCTTCAGGGAGAGGCTTTTTCCATTGCACAATGCCAGGACCAGCCTATGTGAGTTCTTTGATGTTCTGTGAGGTGTGCTTTCCGGCAGAAAGCTTTCCCACATTCTTGACACTCGAAGGGTCTCTCTCCTGTGTGAATTCGCTGATGTTCAATGAGGCGTACTTTCACATAGAAGGCATTTCCACATTCACTACATTCATAAGGTTTCTCTCCTGTGTGAGTTCTCCGGTGTTGACAGAGGGATTTTTTCATACTGAAGATTTTCCCACATTCACTACATTCATAGGGTTTCTCTCCTGAATGCATCCTCTGATGTTCAATGAGGCGTGCTTTCACATAGAAAGCATTACCACACTCGTTACATTCATAAGGTTTCTCTCCTGTGTGAATTCTCTGATGGATCCCAAGAGATGAGTGCACCCTAAAAGATTTTCCACATTCATTACACTGATAGGGCTTTTCACCTGTGTGAGTTCTCTGATGATTATTGAGAGTCATCTTCATTCGGAAGAATTTCCCACATTCACCACACTCATAAGGTTTCTCACCTGTGTGAATTCTTTGATGCTGATTTAGGGATTTCTTGGCACGGAAATTTTTCCCACACTCCCTACATTCATAAGGTTTTTCCCCTGTGTGAGTTCTGTGGTGTTGGGTAAGGGATATCTTTACACGAAATGTTTTTCCACATTCACTACATTCATAGGGTTTCTCCCCTGTGTGAGTTCTTTGATGAATTGTGAGGGTTGCTTTCTCAGAAAAGGTTTTCCCACATTCAGTGCATTCATAGGGTCTCTCTCCAGTGTGTGTTCTCATATGTAGGATGAGTTGTGACTTCCTGCCGAAAGATTTCCCACATTCATTACACTCAAAAGGCCTCTCCCCTGTGTGGGTTTTCTGATGGGCAATGAGGTATGATCTTGCACTGAAGGTTTTTGCACATTCACTGCATTCATAAGGTCTCTCTCCTGTGTGTATTCTCAGATGTTCAACAAGGTTTGATTTCCTGCAGTAAGCTTTCCCACATTCATGACATTCAAAGTTTTTATCTCCTGTGGGTGTTCTTTTATGTCTAACAAGGCCTGTTTTCTCATGAAAGCCTTTCCTACATCCATTATATTCAACATTTTGATCCAATGTTTGAATCTTCTGATGGTAAAGAAGGTCATTATCATGCCTGAGGGCATTATCCCCAACAGAACCATTGCCACACAGCAGTGAGAGAGATCCTTTAAAAACAAACCACAGCATGTCACTCTTTTATGTAAAACCCCAAACTGGCTTCTCTTATCACAGTATAAAATTAAACTCTATTCCAGCCAGGCATGGTGGTTCACACCTGTAATCCAAGCACTTTGGGAGGCCAAGGCAGGTGGATCACTTGAAGTCAGGAGTTTGAGACCAGCCTGCCCAACATGGTGAAACTCTGTCTCTACCAAAAATATAAGAATTAGCTGGGTATGGCAGTGCCCACCTGTAATCCCAGCTACTCAGGAGGCTGAGGCAAGAGAATTGCTTGAACTCAGGAAGCAGAGATTGCAGTGAGCTGAAATTGTGCCACTGCACTCTAGCCTGGTTGACAGAGTGAGACTCTGTCTGAAAAAACAAAACAAACAAAAAACTCTATTTCCTAAAAGCACATATCAGTATCTGTCCTTCTTACCTTGCACTGATTTCCTTTTCACCATCAAACATATGATGTATTTGTTTGTTTCTGGTCACTTTCCCCTACTATATTGTAAGTTCCAAGAGAACAGAGATACTATTTTATTCACTACCAGTTTCCCATACCTAGAACATACCCAGCATATAACTGATACTCATTTAAAGTTTCGCAGATGACTAAATGAATATATGAATAAATGCCTGACAACAGAAAGCATCCAAGGCAATGGAGGGAAGGAGGAATAAATGTTGCCAAGTGTGGTGGCTCATGCCTCTGATCCTAGCACTTTGGGAGGCCAAGGCAGGTGGATCACTTAAGCCCAGGAGTTCAAGACCAGCCTGGGCAACATGGTGAGATACTCTGTCTCTACAAAAAAATAAAATAAAATAAATACAAAAATCAGACAGGCGTGGTTGTGTGCACCTGTAGTTCCAGCTACTAGGGAGGCTGCAGTGCAAAGATTGCTTAAAACTGGGCAGTGAGGGTCCAGGAGCAGTGACTCACACCTGTAATCCCAGCACTTTGTGAGGCAGAGGCAGGCAGATCACAAGGTCAAGAGATTGAGACCATCCTGGCCAACATGGTGAAACCTCATCTCTACGAAAAAATACAAATATTAGCTGGATGTGGTGGTATGCATCTGTAGTCCCAGCTACTTGGGAGGCTGAGGCAGTAGAATCACTTGAACCCAGGAGGCGGAGGCTGCAGTGAGCCAAGATCGTGCCACTGCACTCCAGTCTGGTAATAGAGCAAGACTCCGTCTCAAAACAAAAACAAAAACCAAAAAACGGGCAATGAGGCTGCAGTGAGCCATGATTGCACCACTGCACTCCAGCCTGGGCAACAGAGCAAGACTCTGTCTCAAAAAAATAAAAGAATAAATGTTTAAGATGAGGCAGAGATAAATAGGAGTGGTAAATAACTTTTAAAAATCAAGATAAAGGCTGGGTGTGGTGTCTTATGCCTGTAATCCCAGTACTTTGGGAGACCAAGGTGAGCGGATTGCCTGAGGTCAGGAGTTTGTGCCCAGCCTGGCCAACGTGGTGAAATCCTGTCTCTATTAAGAGTACAAAAATTAGCCGGGCATGGTGGCACATGCCTGTAATCCCAGCTACTCGGGAGGTTGAGGCAGGAGAATCACTTGAACCTGGGAGGCAGAGGTTGCAGTGAGCTGAGATCGTACCACTGCACTCCAGCCTGGGTGACAGAGTAAGACTCCATCAGAACAAAAAAAAAAAAAAATCAAGATAAAACAGGAGAAAGCACTGAAGTTTGAGTGCAATATTACGCTGTGTAATTTTGGTATCTGAAGCATGTAGACCTTCTGTCCCTCTTATTTTCAAACAGCGGGGACCTCTAAAAAGATATTCATAGAAAATGTTGCACAAGGATACCATTTGACCTGAATTCCTGTGCTCTTATTTCCCCTATTTTCCATATGTCCAGTTCTTGCTCACTTACCTGAGTAACCATGGCCTGAGGATTCCTCCTCTAATATCCACAGCTCTTCTCCTCGCTCCAACTTGAAGATCATCTCTGGTTTGGCCACGCAGAGGCCTGTTAATGGGAAATGGCACAGGACGTGGGCCAAGTTGTCTGAGTTCTAGGGCCTCTGATGGAGGAGGAAGGTGCATCTTCATGAGCTGCACAAGGAAGGGGGCCCATTTAAACCTTTCACTGGGGAAGTAAGAACACACACATTCTTCCTGGTGCCCTAAACTGATCACTCATCTGTGACTCTCGATATCGTTAAACCCTCGCAAGGCCGCACATGTTACAGCAACCAAGAAAGGAAACACACGCTCCCAGGAGTCACACAGTCATCCTCACCCACAGATGCCAGGTTGCTGTAGGTCTCCAGCATCACATCCTTGTGCATGGTCCTCTGAGCAGGGTCCAGTCTGTGCCACTCTTGTCGGGTGAAATCCACAGCCACATCCTCGAATGACACGGATCCCTGTAATAACAATCTCCAATGATCAGAATGGGATGCATGAAAAAGATGAGCAGGAACTAATCTTCTCAGTGGAGCCCTGTTGAGAGTTGACCGAAAAGAGCTACACCGGATACCTGATTTCGTGTCTTGCTTGATATACTTTTGGGGTGGGGAGGGGGACCCTGAACAGCTCTATTACTGTGTAATTTATTAATGCATTAAGAAAAGACCACTACACTCCTGAGTTAATACTATGTGTCTGGGTAAGCATTTTTCTGTAAAACTAATAAAAAGACAAACACGATGTGCCTGGACGTGTGCAAACTGCTAGGTTAAAAAATGGAGAAGCTGGTCAGGCGTGGTGGCTCACGTCTGTAATCCTAGCACTTTGGGAGGCCAAGGCAGGTGGATCACTTGAAGTCAGATTTCAAGATCAGCCTGGCCAACATGGTAAAACTCCATCTATACTAAAAATACCAAAAAAAAAAAAAAAAGAAAGAAAATTAGCCAGGCATGGTGGCAGGCACCTGCAATCCCAGCTACTAGGGAGGCTGAGGCAGGAGAATTGCTTGAATCTGGGTGGTGGAGGTTGCAGTGAGCTGAGATTGCACCATTGCACTCCAGCCTGAGCAACAGAGAGGCCCAGTCTCAAAACAAATGAAATATATTTATAGTTATAAACGATACAGAAGTGCTGTTCTGTGGGAGAAAGGGAGACAGTATTGCTCCCAGGTAACTGCATTTTCAGCTGGGATGAGGCTGGAGCCATATATAGACATTATCAAAACAGGAGAGACAATGAGTTGATGGAAGAAAAACTGACATAGATTTTTGAGTGTTTATGGAACATACTGTCAGAGATGTCCAGCTGGAGCTGAGGAGAGAAGGCTAGCAGAGGCCAAAGTTTGGGGGTAAGATCACTTCAGTACTAGCTGAAGCGACTAGAATAAAGTGGATAGCTAAGAAAGAGCACAGTTTGAGAGAAGCACCAAGTACAGAGTTTGAGGGGACACCTATATGCTATGAAGGTTGCAAAGTAAATTACTGATATGGCTTGGATCTGTGTCCCCACCCAAATCTCATATAATCCCCATGTTGGAGGTGGAGCCTGGTGGGAGGGTACTGGATCATAGGAGTGGTTTCTATGGTTTAACACCATCCTCCCTTGGTGCTGTCATCCCCATAGTGAGTTCTCGTGAGATCTGGTTGTTTAAAAGTGTGTGGCGCCTGCACCCCAATTCCTCTTGCTCTGGCCATGTAAGATGTGCCTGCTCTCTGGGCGCGGTGACTCACGCCTGTAATCCCAGCACTTTGGGAGGCTGAGGAGGGTGGATCACCTGAGGTCAGGAGTTCAAGACCAGCCTGGCCAACATGGGGAAACCCCGTCTCTACTAAAAATACAAAAATTAGCAGGTCGTGGTGGTGCATACCTGTAGTCCCAGCTACTCGGGAGGCCGAGGCATGAGAATCGCTTGAACCCGGGAGGCGGAGGTTGCAGTGAGCTGAGATCATGACATTGCACTCCAGCCTGGGCAACAAGAGTGAAACTCTGTCTCAAAAAAAAAAAGTTCCTGCTTCTTCCTTCCCTGCTGCCATGATTGGAAGTTTCCTGATGCCTCCCCCAAAGCAGAAGCCATTATGCTTTCTGTACAGCCTGCAGAACCATGAGCCAATTAAACCTCCTTTCTTTATAAATTACCCAGTCTCAGGTATTTCTTTATAGCAATGCAAGAACAGACTAATAATTTTTTTTTAGATAGAGTCTTGATCTGTTGCCCAGGCTGGAGTGCAGTGGCACGATCTCAGCTCCCTGCAACCTCCACCACCTGGGTTCAAGCGATTCTCCTGCCTCAGTCTCCCAAGTAGCTGGAATTACAGGCGCCTGCCACCACAACCAGCTAATTTTTGTATTTTTAGTAGAGACAGGGTTTCATCGTGTTGGCAAGGCTGGTCTTGAGGTCCTGACCTTGTGATCCCCCCACCTCAGCCTCCCAAAGTACTGGAATTACAGGCGTGAGCCACCCTGCCCATCTAGTCTCTTTATTTTAAATGTGCTTCTGGGACAGTCGTGGTGGCTCACGCCTGTAATCCCAGCACTTTGGGAGGCCAAGGCAGGCGGATCACCTGAGGTCAGGCATTACAGACCAGCCTGGCCAACATGGAGAAACTCCATCTCTACTAAAAATACAAAATTAGCCTGGCATGGTGGTGCATGCCTGTAATCCCAGCTACCCATGAGGCTGAGGCAGAAGAATTGCTTGAACCTGGGAGGCACAGGTTGCGATGAGCCAAGATCACGCTATTGCACTCCAGCCCAGGCAACAAGAGCAAAACTCTGTCTCAAAAATATAAATAAATAAATAAAGGGTAGAAATAAAACCAGGGAAGTGTAGAGTCTTGGAATGTAGGAAGGGAGTCAGTTTCAAGTAACAGTGCCATTTCTAGTTTAAAGTGATAGGTAAGAAATTAGCCCAGTGTGGTGGTGCGGGCCTGTAATTCCAGCTACTTAGGAAGCTAAGGCAGGAGAATTGCTTGAACCCAGGAAGCAGAGGTTGTAGTGAGCCAAAATTGCACCAGCACACTCCAGCCTGGGTAACAAGAGCAAAACTCCATCTCAAAAAAAAAAAAAAAAGAAATGGAAGAGATATTACTATCTATCCCCAAAGACATTAAAATGAGAGTAAGAGAATACCATGAACACCTTTATTCACATAAATTCACCAACTCAGATGAAATGGACCAATTCCATGAAATATACAAAATACCAAAACTTACCAAAGAAAAAGAGACGACTTAATGGAATATCAATTAAAGAAACTGAATTTCTTAAGTGTATTAGGTGAATGAATAGAAGAAAAAAAAAAGAAACTGAATTTGTAATTTAAAACCTTCCAAAAAAGAAATTCCCAGTCCTTGATAGTTTCACTAGTAAATTCCACCAAATATTTAATGAATACATCAATTCTAAACAATTCTTCCTCTTCCATTTTCTAGACAAGGACACTTCTCATTTTATGAAGCCACCATTATCCTGATTACAAAATCAGACAAAGACATGACAAGAAAAGAAAATTGCAGTCCAATATCCCTCATAAACAGAGAAGTAAAAAGCCTCAACAAGTATAAGCAAATCGAATCAAGCAACATATGTAAACACATAGCACGATGAGTTGGTGTTTATCCAGAGAATGCAAGGCTGGCTGAGCATTTTCAAATCAATCAATATAATCCCCATATTAAGAAACTACAACAGAAAAACCACACAATCCTCAACTGATAGAGAAAAGTCATTTGACAAAATTCAACATTCATCCTGACAAAAACTCTCATCAAACTAGGAATAGAAGGAAACTTCCTTAACTGATAAAGATCATCTACCAAAAACCTACAGCTAACATCATATGTAATGAAAGAGACTAAATGCTTTCCCCAGAAGATCAGGAAAAAGGCAAGAGATGGCCACTTTTTGAATCCTATTCAAAATCAAAATCCTATTCAAAGTCCTACTTTAGTGAAATCAGGCAAGAAAAAGGAAATAAAAGCCATATAACCAGTTGGAAAGAATAAATAAAACTGTCTCTGTTCTCACACAACATGATTGTCCATGTAGAAAATCCCAATCTACAAAGAAGCTCTTAGCATGACTTCAGGACACAAAGTCAACTCATCAAAGTCAATCATGTTTTGGCCGGGTGTGGTGGCTCACACCTGTAATCCCAGCACTTTGGGAGGCCCAGACAGGCAGATCGCCTGAGGTCGGGAGTTTGAGACCAGCCCAGCCAATATGGCGAAACCCTGTCTCTACTAAAAATTTAAAAAATTAGCCAGGTGTAGTGGTGTGTGCCTGTAATCCCAGCTACTTGGGAGGCTAAGGCAGGAGAATGACTTCAACTGGGGAGGCCAAGGTTGCATTGAGCCAAGATCATGCTACTACACTCCAGCCTGGGTGACAGAGTGAGACTCTGTCTCAAAAAGAAGAAAGAGAGGTGGGGGGGGAGAGAAAGAGAGAGAGAGAGAGAGAGAGAGAGAGAGATACAGTAAATGTAATATATACACACAATAATTACAACATAAAATAATGAGAGAATTGAGATCAAGCTAACAGTAATGCGAATAAATATGAATGGGCTTAATTCACTTATTAAACGAAAAAGGGGGCCAAATGTGGTAGCTCACACCTATAATCCTAGTACTTTGGGAAGCTGAGTCTGGAGGACTGCTTGAGGCCAAGAGTTCAAGACCACCCTGGCCAACATAGGAAGACACCATCTCTATTTATTTAAAATAATAGTACAGAAACAATAATATTTTAAATAAAATATTAAAGCTAAGCTATGAGAACACAAAGGCATAAGAATGATACAATTGGGGGCGGGACAAAAAGACAAAAAAAGAATGATACAATGGACTTTGGGGACTGAGAAGAAAGGGTGGGGGGTGAGGGATAAAAGACTACATACTGGGTCTATTGCTTGGGTGATGGGTACACCAAAATGCAGAAATCATCGCTACAGAACTTATTCATGTAACCGAACACCAACTGTTCCCCAAAACCTACTGAAATAAAACATAAACTGAAAAATAAAAATTTTAAAAACTAAAAATATGTAAAAGCTATGTTTTCCATGTAAAGTCAGCAAAGTATCAAAGACAACCGCATTTAATTACTAGTACCTATGTCTGGCGGTTCTACTGATAGGTCAGCAATATTTAGATGAGTAATGAAATAAAAATACACACAAATAACACATAAATAAAATAAAAAGGGCCTAACATTGCCACATAAAGCAAAGCCCAGCACTATGCTGCAAACAAGAGACATGTCATGTAAAACAGTCATGCAATAGCCTAAAATTAAAGGGTTGGACAAAAATTTACCAAATGTCTAATAAATCTGCACATGTTCCTGATATGGCTTGGCTCTGTGTCCCCATCCAAATCTCATGTTGAATTATGATCTTCAGCATTGGAGGAGGGGCCTGATAGGAAGTGACTGGAACATGGGGGTGGATTTCCCCCTT